TTTGCAGTCGGTAACTACGTCAAGAAATTTGGTTCAAATTTTTAATCAAGGATTTAGCTTTCTGTCTGAATCAAACTTAAACGTTTATTTGTGTCCGACTCAATCAGGTGCAATTGGTATGGAAGCTCCGGCTAATGGGCTCCTGACACAATGTATTGACTGTAGTGTAATGCGTGTTCTTATACGGGCTTACAAAGATGTTACAATTACTGGGAATGCGTTCTTATAATAAGCATTAAATAATGCCAAAATGGGGCATTTTCAATGCCTCACTGCTCCTTAATGAGCATGGGCGCCCCCCTTTTTTATTTCAAAATTGAAGTTATCACATGACAAATATTCAGTGGATAAAGTTTGAACAAAAATCTATTGTCACTTTTATTTCAGAGGAATTACCTTAAGGAACATTTCTTACAATTATGCGAGCGTTAGGCAGTGGATTGGGAGTAAGCTGACCGGCCGTTCGGAATTGACAACAACAAAAATTAATTGTCACTAAAAACCAAGTGATTTATTGAACGTAAATAATATATATGTATACATATTTCCAAAAATATTGTAATTCGAGAAATACATGGATTCTAAAATAGCCTAGACTATTTTATCCTACGCGCATAAATTAGAAAGACAACAAGCTTAAATCAAGAGTGTGATCGTTAAGAAAAAAAAAACTGGAATTTCAGTCGTCATTGATTAGTAATCGGGAGAGTTTATTTTTCCCAAACTGGTCATCATTTTAGACGAAATCGTACGTAACATTGTTTATGAATATCCCATTTTTTCTGAGCAGTAAGTGAGGAAGTCCTATTTTTTAAAAGCTCGATCTAATTCCACCTACGCGCTTGTTTGCCGTTGCCAGGAAATCTTGTCGTCGCAAAAATCATTTTTATGCCGGCAAACATTAGCCTGTTAGTGGGCAGCTTATGCGTTTCCTTTGGATGTGTAAACTTCTTTGTTACCGGAATCTAATCGAACTGCTCTCATTAATTGCTGTAACTTTTTGCGGTTGACCCTTTATTTTGTGGTTGTTTATCTTAGCCGTGTTGTCGTCCGAATGTCATTTACTTGCATCACCCAATATCCCAAAAGGCTTTTAACTATAGTTATTATTGTTTGTCTTAGTCCATGTTATTCTAATTTGCGGTTTATTTTAGCGACTTATTCGGGAAACACTTTTCCGTTGTGTTTCCTGCTTCCCTGTGACGAGCCATGAATATCTGATTGCCCTATAACTTTCAAAGACCATTGCTTTCCGTGTACGTGTACGGATATACCAAGCTACAAAGTTGCAGAAGTAGTTTTTGTGTATTTATCAAAAAATATTTTTAAAGAATTTTGTGTATTTATTCGTTATGATAGGATAGTAAATGACAATTAATTTTTAACAATATGTTGTTAAACAAAAAGTTGAAAGGTTTGTTTTTGACAATCGTATCCTAGTCTTGGACCACCTCAGAGTCTTTTCTTGTGGTTTGGAGAGAGCAAAACTAACACCTTTTATGTAAAACCTCCCACAGTAGTCTAACGGTAGCTGCTGATGGAAGACACAATACAGCCACTGCATAAAGAGAAACAATGGATTAAAAACATAGAACTCGCTCGCTAATGAATAGCCCAAACAAAAAATTAGAATTCTACCCAGGCAGGACGGAAATTTTAACCTGCACTCAAACATTTTTAAAGAATAGCGCATCGATACCTGTAAACCACTTCTGGCGGTTTTAAATACCACAAAAAGATCAAAGTAACTTTTTCTCATTCTTTAATTTTTTTTTCTCTTAACCTCGTATTAACAAGGTACCTGAGCAAAGGTTTTAGTAAGATATTCTACGTTGCTGCGAGGCAGTAAACTGCTGAAAAAAAATGAACTGGTTAAATTTAGAAGCAACTACTTGTCAACGTACGTTCGAAATTAGCGTTTAATGCGAAATCGTATTTCCTTCTCCGAACATGGAACATATTATCAATACTGGACCAATTTTCTCGCTTAATTTTTGCGATTAGCGAGCATACTTTGAAGACACCTTTCGGTGTTCCTTCAATAATTCGGTAGCCACCTGTCCGTGTGATTTTGAACTTTCCACTTTAGAACCAACTGGTTGTTAGAGAGCAGTAAAACCGATTGCCGAAAACTGAGGAAGTAAGTGGGTGTACTGCTGTCAGGCGCTGATTTTTCTTTTCTTCTTTTTTGGACAAAAGGAAATGAATGAAACGTAAAGGAGAGGAAAACGCATTCTATTTTTGTAATTTATGTGGGAACTATTAAAAAGCAGACTCGAATGCGGGACTTTCCGATTAGATAACATCAATGTCTCCGTTTTTACAAAGTTGTTAGTCGCTTGAAATAACATCGTCGAACACTATGCCTGGTTTTTAAGACATTATTAAAATGCTTCATCTGGTACAAGTTTCTTTGCTGTGTCTTGAAATCTACGAAACCTGCACAAACTACAGGTGTTTTCCTAATCCAAAGAAAAGAACTTGGCTGTTTAAACAAGTCCAGTCAGTGGTCATTGAAGATTTATATTCCACTGGTTATGTCTATGTTTTTGTTCTTATCCTTAACACCATTCGATCAGTGAAAAACACAGGAGGTTTTTCCGTTGCATTTGTGCCGGACAGCTCCTTATTATAGTCCAAATAAATAAAACTCCTTTACAGTAGTGAACTGGTTAACCGGCCCTAGAACCCTCAAGTCAGTTAGACAGGTCGTTTTGTTCCAAAAGCTGGCTGACAGAGTTATTTTCAGCGGAACAATAGCTGTTTTTCAATATTCGGTCTTATTACGTCTATAACTGATGAAAACGAGAAAATAGATTTTCTCGTTTTCGTTCCACACGTCCAAATAACGAAACGAAAGCAATTTCTTTCCTCCTCATACCAAGACCAGTGCCTGCTTCACTCATCAGTAAGATTTCCCACCAAATAGAACTCTTATCATTACACCTGCTTAAAAGCCTGGTACGAACACTCTTACCAACCATCCCTTAGTCCATCAGGTGCTCCTCACAAATTAAACAAATATTTACCACAACAGTATTATTGAGTCAGTATAGTTTTGACTAGAGCTGCAAAATTTATAATCATAACATAGTTTTTGCCGTTTTCTTCTCTGTTTTATTGTGCTATACTCAGTGCTTGATACAGTTTGATGTGCACTCGACCGCAAATCCAAGTAATTTGAGTGAAGCACGTGCCTAAACTAGTGTCAGTGAAGGAATTTGCTACAAATCTCCAGTATTGTGACACCTCTGCTCAAAACCCACGTAAAAACATGTAGCTTTCTGTTGCATTGAATTGTATGAAGTTCGTGACAAAATTTGGTTACTTTGCTGTTCGACCGGAAGCAAAACAGCGTGTTGTCCATTCGCGTGAGTCGACGAGAAGGCCGACTCAATATCCCGTGCAATTCTAATTTCCGCTCTCGAGAATGTTAGAAAAATAGTTTTTTGACTGACCATGTTCTTTTAGTAACAACGTTGAAATATTAAAGAATAATAATACACTTTGGAGATGTAAGGCAGTGATTATAGCGTGGAGGTTTGTTTTGATTTATGTGAAAAGGAATATTTATGTTTTCAGAACTGATACTAAACATTTTATCAAGTATTGTAGTTGGTTTTGAGTGTTTAAAAGGATTTCACGGCCGGTTACGCTCGGTTAATACCAGCAGCTAAAAACTCGAGCAGCTGCTGGATTTTACAACTGTTTTCCTTTCTTTTGAATATTTCTGTTTTTGTCTCCCTTTAAAACCAATTTAATTCACATTCTTAGCTCTTCTTTCGCGACAATTCGTGTTGCTAAATTGAGCTACAATATAGTTTTGATGGCGTTTTTTAATTGATATTTATCTCTTGGAATTGCACTGCAATATACACCTGGCTAACTGGCTCTTAAAGTTTTGAATGTAAATTAAAGTATCTCCGATGTCTAAAATTGACCCGAGCGAAAATATAACTTTAAACCCAGTAACATAATAATAACACTTGCAGTAACAGCCATTAAATATGGAAGCCGTGTTCACCGAAGTAGGTTTAAAGAAGTTTGGATTTTAGGGAGTTTATGTTAGAGAATGGAGGCGTTTTCAACTGGTGTGATCACGTTTCAAACCGGTTTGAAAATCTTCGCCCTTCGGAAACTAAACGTCATCAGACCAAGCGAAAAAATAAGCACTAACTAAACTGAAGTATATTTTTGGAGTGTTATAGTGACGCAGTCGCTAAGAAGCAGCTGTCCGGATTTGAACTAGCGGGATAACATCATAGAACTGTGATTTATAGTCTTGGCCTGAAGCACCCCAACCATCTGCTTGTAACAATATAGGCAGCTGTTTCAATTTCCGATTAGCTTAAACTTTGGCAGGTGGCTGGACGAAATAATTTGCGAATGAATAAATCCACCAAAGTCACCGCTGTTAAAGTTGTGAGAAGGATTAGTACTTACAAAAATATAACCACCCTTGCACTTTTGTCAATGGCGCTTGTTTTGGAAAAACGAAGACTCGGGCTTTACATTTCCCGGTATATCGCTGTCTGCTATGATTTTTAAACTTTAAATGGCACTAAACAATACAAAACATCGAATAATGGATATTGAATGGTTATTTTATGTTGTCATAATTCTGACACCCTGCTTTTTTCTTTTTTTTTTTTTTTGATTTTTTTGGATACTTGTTAACCAAGTTGGTGAAGTTTTCATGCAGTCGCTGTTTTCCTTGTGTGCTTGATATGAGCGGACGCATTCGGCGTAAATGTTATTTTGTCTTTTGGCAAACCGACACAATTTCGACAAGATACTTATCTACACCTAAGAAGCTTCAAGCACCGGCCAAAATACAGATTAAATTCCTTGTTAAATTCCACTGCTACTAGGCTACTTCACTTTGGTACCGTACAGGGAGTTATTGTCTTTAAAACGTCTTCCCGAATGAAGATTATTTTAAAGAATCGCAGATAGAAACAAAAGAAACTTCACGCAAATTGAACAATTTCTAAGGAAGCCAGATGTTCGCTCGCACAGGTGTGATTCACAATGGAACACTGGTTGCCTGTCAAAGCTTAGATTAAATCTTTATTGTTTCGTGTGATGTGCTTTGTGTTTAGAGCCGTACGAAAAACGTGGGCTTACCAAGGGGCTTGTTGAGGCGTACATCCCATAATTCCACGCTTTTGTCAGTTTAATCGCAGCTGGGCTTCAGCAAACAACGGCCTCGGCTAAAACAACACTGTATTTATGAATATCAATCTTACTGAGTTGAACTTTTCCGTTTGTTATGAAAGCAAGTCATTGCCACCTCTTGATAGCAATAGGCGAGTTTATTGCACCCGACACGTCCTTCTCTTTGCTTCTCTGCTGCGCCTTGAAAAAACAAATACTCTGCACACTGTTCCCGCGCGCGTGGTAATTTATTCCAAAAGGAATATCCTCATTCGTTGAACGCGTAGGTCTCGATGCGTAGGAGGCAAGTTTAGTACCCAAGCCGTCGCATTGTTTGGTTTTGAATGAATGGACTTGAATTAGCGTGAAGTGTGAAACTTTTCGCATTTGGTCGCTGAGCGTAGTATTGGTCGTTTCGGAGTGTTCACTGCCCAGTGAACAGTGCCAGATTTGTATACTTCGCTACAGTGAACAGAAGCTTTTACGTATCAGTGCCAAGTTTATCTTGACCAAGGTAAGGGACTGATATTGTTCACTGTCTTGATGACTGGTGATTTTGATTGAAAATATAGTTTTTACTACACACACAATCACGCGAAGTCATCATTTATGACTCAACACTAATTCAAGTTTGTCTCCGTAGTGTGTTTAAGAACATGGCTCTGTCGGTGAGTAGTCTTCTTTTGGAGAGCTTCAGTAGCGACTTCGACCCTCTTCAGCCGTCACTTTTCAAGGATTTAAGCGATGATTCAGCAGACGTGAAAACCAAGACCAAAGAAGCAACGGATGATCTATGGAAGAATTTTTCATTTCCGCCGACGCCACCGATCTCACCGGCTTGTTCGCCCCCGTACGCCACAACCGAAGAAGCAAGGGAACAGCCAGTTTGCCATGGCCTTGCTGACGAGGGACTCTCTCTAGATGAAGAATGTTCGCTGTACTTCCAAGCCGGTGACCTCAAGGATATATTGATCAAAGACTGTATGTGGAATGGAGCGGCGTTCGAGAAAAACGTGGACAGGAAACAGCGAATGCATTCGAAAATGGAACGCGTGCGTCTTCTGTGCCAGACGCCGCCTCTGAGTGAGTCAGCCGCGAGGATTTTGAGCGTGGATCCGTCAGAGATCTTTCCGTTTCCTCTTAGTGCTAGCCCGGGCAGTGATCTGCGTGAAAGCATCGAGGAACAATCGGATTCCGGTAGGTATAACAACTTATTAGATAAATAATAAATGCTGAATCGCTGTGGCTGACTGAATCTTGTTCACCGTGTTCTGCGATCTATGACCGAATCTGACACTGATCCGCTGTTCCTATTCATTGCTTCGATTTTGTTGTGTGTGCCCTCCGTTCCAGGGTCGCGACTGTTTCAAAAATATTCTTGGTAAATCTTTTCTCTGACTCAAGAAAAGAGTTAAATTATTTTCTAACATTCTTGTTTGTTTTTGCAAACTTTATAGAAGAAGAGGAAGTCGAAGTTGATGTTGTTACTATAGAAAACTCAAGCAAACGAGACCAGGAGGAAATCCAAGAAATAATCGAGCCCGAAAGTGAGAAAATTTGTGCAACAATCGACGAACCGAAGACGAGTCAAGCCTGTTCGGAAATATTGGGCTTAGAAGACCAGCAAGACGCTGACGATGACGACGAAAAAACCAACTTCGTGGGCAAGATAAGAACACGTCGACACAGGAAAGTGTTATGCAGTGACGGATTAAATTACCGCGATGGAAGGAAACTTGTTAAGAACATGAGCAGCTCCGGTGAAAGCGACGAGTCCGAAAACGATAGTGAATTCACACGCGCGACTCATAATGTCTTGGAGCGAAAGAGAAGGAACGATTTGAAAATGAAGTTTCAAAAATTGCGGGACTGTGTACCGGAATTGAAGGACAACGATCGAGCACCGAAAGTGTCGATTTTGCGAAAGTCATGGGAGTATATAAGTCAAATCAAACAAGAGGAAATAAAACTCCTGGCAGAGCTGGAAAAACAAAAGAAAATTAACGCAGTGTTGTTAAGAAAGCTTCTGGCTATGAATCAAACGAACTAGACACTTTTTACAATAGGACGCATTACTTCTATGCCGTTTTATCCACTCCCTACAGAGTAGTTTTTGAAGTGCCTTACTGAGGGAACGAGGTTTTTTGAAAATGTTCATTTGATTTTCTTATTATTTACACCGGCCCGGCGCTTTGGTCTTCGAAGCGTAAATTATAATGAATTAACAATTTTGCTGTGCAACGTAATAGTAACGCGAGATTTTTTCAGACGAATTGAGAACACACTTACGCGTAGCTGAAATGGCATAGCTAAGTTGAATAGACACACAGTTAGAGTTAATCTTGAAGATACTGATTGTAAATAACGTTATAATTGTGCTGTTGCAATGCGAACCGAATTTAAACCGGCTTTGTACACGCTTGACAAAAGCATTAGAATTTCATGTAGAGCGACAGCGCAGTAGAAAGCACTATTTGTGGTAGAAAAGCCACTAAAATCACGAATAAAAATCAACGTTTCTGCTTCAAACTGTTTATTGCATGGTGAGCTAAATACTTCAGTAAAACGTTGGTGTTTTTGTCGAGGAAACGTAAGAGTAGCAGGGTCTTTTGTTCCGGCCACTCTTCCATTCAAAAGCGATGACACTCCTCGAATGAATGAGCTGCACATTTGCATTCGCATGTTGACCCAAGCTAGCCATAGACTAAACTGCATAAATTACAAACCCATTAGCCTATTACCTGTCTTGTGTTGCATTGAATTAAAACTGTTGGGAAATACAAACTAATCGCTTCCAACGACTCGATAAACCGCAGCGTCTGTTTATATCATAACATAAATTAGTGCGCAAGATGACTTCATGCCATAGTTCTGAAACATTTATAAAGAGAGAGAAAAGATAAACTTCCCTTCAATGAGAGACTGTATGTTTTTACATGTTAGACGTCGCTTAGTTTACATTTACGCTTGACCTTAACAAAGATGCGATGAAGAATTTTGCAAGTTGATTGTTTGGCAAAGTATTGGCGAAAGAAAACATTAAAAAGTTGTCTCTTGCGAGAAAGCCACCGTTTCATTTAGCTCGCGCGCTCTCTACTACCTGAAAAAAGACAAACTTATATTATAAATTTATAGTTAAAATTCAAATTTCAACAATGACTGTCTACTTTTTTTTTATATATAAAACTAAATGCTTTCTCCAGATGTCAAAAAACCGGCGTTGTGCGTAAATATTAATACGTCCATCTCGTTTGACATTGAAAAATTTCTTTTCCATTATAAGCTAGCAACGCTTCAAAAATGAATTAAGCAGGCTATTAAGGTTTTTTCAGCAGAGTTTCACACATTTCAGAACAATTTGAATTCAATCGCGAAAATTGGGCAATATCTTAATGAATTGTACAAGTTAAACAGGAATCAAAACTTAAAAATTGTTCTTTCACGTTCTTTTCTGTATCCGTTTCTTGCTAATCATTGCAAGAGATCAGACTTAGCGTCCGATCAAGCGAACTGTGTGTATTAATTATGCTCAGATGAATAATTGCAGTTTTAACGTTTGTAACACAAAGTCGCCCAATAACAAAGTTAATTTCTAATCGGCAGGGCAGGCGCTACATCGAATTTGAGGTTGGTCACCAGACAAGCGCGAGCCAATTTATGGGCGAACCATTTCATCTTGGCTGATTTCCGGCCATATTGGAAGAGTGTTTACTCTGCCAGTAAGTAAAGAGCTTCCAAGGATTGTGATGCAAATGTATTTGAAAATGTTTGAATCTAAGCAGGTGTTCGGTTGAATGGTGCAAAAATAGATCTTTTGTTTACTGCAGCTGCCCTTGGCTGAATTTCACCGCTTATTACACAAATTACTGCTTATGCTTGAAAGATTATCTAGCTTTATTGGTTTAGTTTCCATTGCGGCTTTGTAGCCAGCGAGTTTTTTAGGTAGAGCCTTAGGTATTTGTAATAACGTCCATTTGAACGATTTTAATTTCATTTGTCTAGCTCGCGATAAATACCGCTTGCGTAAGATACAAGATACATTGATATACGGCGCAATAGATTCCGCAAAAACCTGCCGCACTCAAAAATATGTACAAACAAAGAAGTCGTTTTTTCTTCCTTTTCTCGAGGTCTTGAAATGTATCGATTGTTGAGAAGGGCTAACTTATATTATATTAATTTATTATTATTATTTTTTAAATTTTCGTTCAATTTATTTTATATACTTTCCTTTTTATCGAGACGCTGGAAAATTGTGCGGAGAAGCGATTGTCTGTTCATACCACAGATGTTTTGATTAATAAAGAAATCTATACATATGAAAATTATTCAACACTTAAGCAGAACAACTGTCTCAAATCCACAGGTTGCTTTTATGGCATGACCGTACACTCCAACCTAAATTCCTTTAGTTTAACTCGCTCATTTCTTCCCCTGAGAGAGAAAACCTTCTTAAAGCGACAAACATTGCCATTTTTTTGATTTTAAGATTTTTACTTTGAAATATCCAACTTCAATGGTCTTGAAGTTTAATACGCCCTAGCAATTTCGTTAACTTTTAAAATTACATAACTGCGGCTCGTGCAGTTTTAAAAGTTCAATTTATTTTCGTCGAGGATTTCATCGAAACGTTTAATTACAACTACTCAGCTCTGTTGAACTTACATTAGAAGAGCATGACACCATCCTGTATATTGCATGAGATAAGACTGATTTGATTCATTTATTGAAGGAAAATAATAAAATATAAATGCACTAAAGTTAGCGATCCTGTATTTCCGAAACGCGAATATTAGCATTGCGCTAAGCTCTCGAGTAAAGCTTAGAGAAGATTGTTATGCTCCAGTTAGCAAGGACCAGCTGCTTCTAAAGAACGACTTTAATGCCCTATTCAAGCTGTCACTACGTCGTGTAGATAATTTGCTTCCCGCGAATAAACATTTGTTCTTCACTATAGCCTTTCGCAATAAAGAGCGCGCGCGCAATTTGCATTTGAATGGTTTTCATTTAGCTTGATTGACGGCGTCCTCCCCGCGCGTGCCAGCCGTGCGACAACAACTGCAAACAAAGGGTTTTCCAAATCGGCATCAATGCTTCGTCCCCGGAGGCCAAATCAGACGTAGTTATTATTCTCGGAGCTGGCGAATGCAATTGTTGCGGTTAATGTTGGGACCACTGCGTTGTAAATGCTCTTTTCTCTCAGAGTCATTTCGCCCACAAAAGACTTCGGCTTGACCTTTGAAGCGAGATTGTTGTTTGTTGTCCTAATGCTAATGTCTAAAGCTAGATTGTTTTTGGTCGCAGTGTTTGCGCAGGAATCCAAGCGTCTATTTGTTCAAAAGTTAAAACGGCGTTTCTTTTTCAAACCCCATAACTCCATCCCTTCATTCCTAGTCCCAACCTGCTCTTTTGGCGGGAAATTTAGTGCGCAATTTGTGGTAGATTTCAGCGCGTGCCGCGGACTCGACACCATAATCATTAGTGGACTAATTAGTAAGACACGCGCCGATACATCATTGACACACGAACAGCACTTAACACCCCCCGAAAAATTACCAAATCTTCAAAATTAATGGAGGTACTGCAAATATTATGTCAACTAAGCGATGACAGTACCGGAAATCTCTGATTGTTAAAGGGGTCGATTTTATCACTCGAGTAAACAGCGTAAAGGGTTAAAGTCCATCGGCACGCACAGGACATAAGGGCGTTTACCCCTACATAAAATTCTGCTTTGGAAAATAACATCAGTTTTAGACCTTAGTCAACCCAGCTGAGATTGCAGTTGTTTGAGTTTGGGCGAACTTCACGCTCGTTGCTTCAATCATTTTAGCTGCTCTCTTTGAAAATTGGGTGTGTCGGGATGTATTTTTGTCAGTTTCAATTGTTTTCGTAACCTCTTGTGTTAATCCTATTCATATGCAAGCAGGCTATGAGCTGTTAACCTCTGCAGCCGGTCTGTAGATAAGTGGAGACGTGATTAGCACTGCGATAAATCTCGAGAGCTCGTTTATAAGACGTGTGCGTCGTTCATTAGACATTATAGTTGGAGCTATTAAGGGTCGCAAGCAAGATTTCACAGATATCCACCTTGAGGTTAACTTCAGAGACCAGACCAGCGACATGTTTGCAGCTACTAGTACTTTGTGAGTATCGGTATTCTGGTAATTTTCATAATCATGTAACAGCTTCAGTATGTTCTTTGTCCCGATTGTATCTGCGTTCAGAATTCCCGACGCCACACGAGTCGGTCCTGTTGTATTTTAGAAATTTCACACAAAGTTTCGACATATCAAAACAATTCGGCCAGAATTTGTTTGTGAGAGTGAAATTCGTACATCCCGAAAGCGGAATAACTGGTTAGATTCTGTCTAAATTACCTTTCTGAGGTCGGTGCCAAACGCGCGCAACTTGATTGTAAAATGGTGAGAAATCCAGCGTGTATCCTTGTAAAAGAAAAAGAGGTACCGTAGCCTTTTTTTTTTCAGGGATCCAAAAAGTCATCAAAATATCCCGCTTTTAAATTACTGGTTTTGTTGGATCATGGGTAATTATTTCGATTTTAAACATCTGTTGGAAGTGTGAAAACTACCTGCAGTTTTCTTTTTTCTTTTTTCTTTAATTTTGATTTGCATTTGTCATAACGTTACACGTACTGCGAAAGATATTGGACATTCCAATGTCCTGATTCCCTTGGTAGCAGACTTCAATATTCGGTTGCTCCAAGATATGCAAGCTCTGCGTCTCATTGATCGCGCCTTTCAAAAGTGCAGTGTTCTCTAAAATATAATTTGGAAAAGATGCTGGTTATTTTTTGGTGCCATATATAATTGTTTCTTCGTCTAACAAAGGACAAAGCAGGTCCACCGACATTGATACGGGTCGTTCGCTTGTGAAAAACTCTAAGAAAACATGAATATTCAATTTTACGTAAATCATTCGAGTCCTTTATTTCAGTGAGGGTGACTCAAAAACCTGTAACCTACAAGTTTTGTTTGTCAAACCTCGCAGAAGAATTCACAGCTCACTGCACAAGTGAAAACCAAACCAATATTCGTTTCTAACCGATTTGCGACTCACACGCGTGTAGTCCACGCTTGGCACTCCAGTAATACGTGGGCCGGATTTTGATGACTTTATGCAAATTTGCCTTTTGTGATGTGATCAGTCCATTCATTGATTCAGTCATTCATTTGAAGCTTAACGTGAAAAGCGGCTGGTCTGTTTGAAAGCAGATTTTTTTCTCTTCACAAATCTCACCCGCGCTTGTCCAATCGCTTGGTACGTTGTGTTTAAGTAAACAGGCAAGCGTGCAGATTTCAAATCGAGAAAGAAAATGTGTACTTTGAATGGTGGTCAAGCGCATCCTAATAACTTGTACGTTTCTTCCAATAACAGACTTTGTTACGATATGTTTTTTGACGAGAGACTACGAGGCGCTCAACCCATGGACTCCTCTGCTCCCCAAGATGTGATCGTGGAAAGTATGTCAGAAGATGTTTATAACCCTAGCGACGATTTCTGGAAGAAATTTGCCTTACCGACGCCTCCTTATAGCCCCGAAAACTACCTACCCCAGACTGGCTGTACACGGAACTTCATCGGAACGAGGAGAAACGGCCTTCAAGTTGTTCCAGAACCGGAAGATCTGTCTTCGGACTTACCTCTGGTTCTGTCCGATGCTGAAATGGAACGGCTGACATGTAGCACGATAGATGACGAGTATATCTGGCCGGCGGGTGAGACCGACTTTGATCGAGTTGAATCGCAGAGGTTTCAAGGCAATCGCGTTGTGCTGTCGGCAGCGTGCGTGAATGAAGCCAGTGCTGAAATGGCGGCAGAACATCAAGTGATGAGAGATCTGCCTCCCTTTGTCGCTACGGTTGCAAACCAAGACCCCGCGCTTGGCCCACAACCAGTTGATAGGTGGCACCCACAGTTTTCAGGTGAATATCGCGCTTATTTCATTTAGATATCAAACACTACTGACTTTGCGTGGACTGAATCAAAGTACGTCTGGTAATTTTTCGACTGCGCAATTTCACTTTCGAATTGTATGACTACCACCTCCCCACGAGAGTAGTTTCATTGACTTTAGGAGCCCTTTAAACTTAGTTTGGTTTAGTTTCACAATCGGGAATAATAGGATCATTTAGTTTGCTTTTGTCGCATGTGAAACAAGAAATTTGTTTTTGAGTAGAGGAGCGCGACACATTTTCTCTTTGGATCTTAATAATGTAACTAGAGAAGGGGCTGCTTGTACATCACGGTAAACAAGCTGCGCTATGAACAAGTGACTTAATTTTGATGGCTGAGTCTCGTTATTAATTGAGTGTTTAAAATGCACGCTTTGTGGTTTTAAAGACGAAAGTTTTATTACTCCTTGGCTTTGTTTATAAGTTGTTTCAGATTTTCACTTCACACTTTGGCGCGTTTTTTAGTAAACTTTGAGCAAGTGATCAGAGTCCATCGCGACGTGTGGGACATATTCAAGTGATTTGGCGTTAGAAAATAACTTTACAAAAGCTTGAATCGAGATTAGTGTTTTCGAACATCTGATATTTTCTTTTTGTCAAATAGAACACACAATCTGTCCTATGACAAGCCAGCTTTTTGACTGGCCCGGTGCTAATTAAATCTATTTTTTTATTTCGAAAACAGAAACGCTTTGAACAATGGTTTCAAGCAGTTGAAAAGACTCGTTTTTGATTCACGATAAAATAAAAGTCTGTCATTCCACTATTAATTAGTCAAAGAGTATCGAAAAGCCCTATTTGCCAAATCTAGAGGCAAATTAGCGCTCATAACTAAGCTCGCGACATTTTAATATAAACTCAGTTACTCTCAATTTCATTTGTAAACTTTGCTCTGTCGCGCGAAGTATTTTAATTAATTTTGCGCAATTTTGTTTATCTCTGCAGTGGAAAATCCAGCGCTAAGGCTAGCTCAGCCAGCAGCGAGCGAGGAATTTATCCATCAACGGTTTGACTGCGCAGTGTCCAAAAAACCGCGCAAGTCGAGGAGATCAAGTCGGCAAGACTCTCCTCCTATGGAAGGCGACGATTCTGAAGACAACGAGACAAGTCGGGCGACTCATAATGTTCTCGAGAGGCAAAGGAGAGAAGATCTTAAATGTCGCTTCCAGTTTCTGAGAGACAGTATCCCCGAGCTCGAAGATAATGATCGAGCGTCCAAAGTTTTAATTCTTAAAAAAGCGCGGGAATACGTGCATCAGTTATTTTTAGAGGAGGAACGTTTACTTGCCGACAAAGAGTTAGAACGCCAAAGGCGACTTATACTTCTCGAGCGTCTTACATGCTTGCGGCAAGGTTATGGTGTGATGTGAAATGATCGTTTTGCAGACTTCTAGCTATAATGTTTTTTGACCAGTAATTATTTTAAAAGTAAGTAGCATCACATCGCCTCGATATGAAATAATTTTTTTTACATTATATATATTATTGTCATTTCGAAAAACGTGATTGAGGATCATATCAATTACCCAGATTAATACGCAGTTTATTGCTATAAAATAAACTCGATTGTTAGATATAATTTAGCGAGTTGCTAGTGACAAGTTAAATAATTGAGTGACTGGAGTTTGGTTTTAAAATGTCTTCCGACATCCAGTGTTTGCCTAGACAAATCCAAATCAAAGATTTCTCTCAATCAAATAAAACTTACAACTTTCCATCTAGGTCACTTTTAAAATTATCCTTACGTTCACGTTTCGTGTAAGTTATTTTTTACTTTTCTAACTCCGCGTATTACTAAAAGTAATTTTTCTTTCTATTTTGCATTTTTGCCGGTTAAATGGAAAAGATATTTGAAGAAATGCACCTTTCTAATACTTCTAACGCATGGCGTTACTTTTACTTTCATACAAAATTGAACACGAATGAAAAAAATATAGGGAGAATATAAACATCCATTCGTTTTGCAGGTACTAAGTAAAATGGGATAGAAAAAGGCACTAGTCATCAATGACGCATTTCTCATGTACATTTCAGTTGGAATGAAATCTACTTATCCTCGTGCGAAAGTTATCCGCATTTTCTTCCAGTAAAAAAAAAAGACATGTAAATTCAGTTTTGAGAAGTTCTGAAAGAGTTTCTCGTTATTTGTACAAAAAAATCCAAACAAACTGCTGATGTTAATACGAACAATCCACTGAGATATTTTTGTCCGAGTTAGTGAGAGGTTTTTTTAACTCACTGAAGTATAACTCGGTTAAATAACCTCTATTTGTGTGTAATCTGTATATGAAACAATTTTGTAATGAAACCTTAACGCCTTGAAAATAAACAGGCTTGAAAATGAGTAAACGTGTTGAGATGAATCTTGCCAAATAGTGACTAACTCTGTAAGACGATACAACAGCTTTGAACTAAAGGGGAACAAGTTCAACTAAAAACAATTTTAGAAACTGGTGAAATTTTGAAGCGAATTATCTCGTTCGTAGCAACTGGAGCAGCTAAACAATGTAATTAGGATGTGAATTGATTTAGTAGGATCCAACATGGATCTTTGTCATTTAGCATTCTAGTTTGGCTGAGCGCCTCGTAAACTCTCTGTCCCTCGCGTAATTTAGGCGCGCAACGAGCGAAATAACGAAGTCAGAGGTTGTTACAATGCGCCCAACTTTGAAAAATTCGAAATCAGATATGTCTGATTTTCTTTTGTTATTGTGAGAAATCAATATCAGAAGCGGGCTATCCATGAAGACAATTTCCAGATAAATCTCCCATATCAGGTTAACTGACGCTCAAACTACCAAGCGGACCGATTTTATCTTTGTATATCTACTGTGTAGAAACGTAGTGGTGCAATGGTTTTCAAATCTTCATTTCATTCATTTGGCGGAACAGTAAATGTTTAGAAGCCATAGCACAGCTGTCATTTTTGATATTTTCCCAACAGTCTGTGGTAAAGCTGTTTTTTAATGTGCCGTTCTGTACTTTGAAAGTGTCAACGCCCTAGCTTCGATTGCTTGCCCAATCTAAAAACGTTAAGCCCAGTTATGCTCGTGAAAAGCAAAAGTTTTCGAGTTTATAAACTTTTTAATTAACCAAGAGAAGTAATTGCGCGAGGGTTAGAGCCGCGCGCAATGAGCTTAGTGGTTGTAAGATCACAACAAGAAGATGAGATGGAAGCAATTTAAGTCAGTGCCTCAGGAGCAGCATAGTTTGTTTTCATTCTCCATCTTAAGGCGGCGAGGTAAAGAAGGTTTTAAATTAAATATAGTCTTCAGAAATTGTTGGGGTGCAAATCAAAGGTTTTGCACAAAACAGTTAATACTTTCACCGCAATAACTGGGATTACAGTCAAGTAATGTCTGTTTTGTAACATAACCGCGCCCAAGTTTTTTGCTTATATTTGATCGTAAGTTTAATCTGGTAAACTAACTCAAACCGGCGTCGTTGCTTTAATTCAAATGCCATAATCAATTGCCCGCCGCAAGCTTTTATTCTTTGACTTTTGTGAAGTGCAATCAAAACAAAGTTAAAACTCAGCTGACACAAACGAATGAAATGGACGATGCCATGCCCGTGAATCGCGTCGCACTGTATGGCAGGAAAATCGTTATACCGCAAACGAAAATATCTGTCCTCTTCAAAAGTTTTTTTTTCCATTAAGACTGGTATCTTTGTGATAAATTGCGCGCGCTACAAACGGTCTGTTGCTATTAGTTTCGACCCAAACAGTTTTTTTTTTTATTTTGTTTAGAAGCGCCAGGCGGGCAAAGCCAATGAAAATCTTTTGTCTTCAAACGGATGAATGCTTTTTCTGTCTTATTTACGGTTAGCTGTGGAAAACTCCAAATCTATAGCCGAAGATTATGATAGCTAAGCGCCACGAAAATGTAAAAACTTTACAGCAGTTTTGGATCCTAAGAGAATATAATGCTGTGTTCATGTGTATCCTTTGATTGACTTTGTGATGTGTTATTCTCTCGATGACAATCCTCTTTCTTTGCACACGTGTTCTCTTTGCTAATTATGACTAAGCAGGAACATAATTATGCGGCGAGACGGTGGGGTGTTTCAGATTAAATATATTTTCACCGACAGTTTTTACAATTAAATTTACCACGATGTTATGTAAAGATATTTACGCTGAGTGCAACAAATGACCGCGTTACCATGTGAAAATACTTAATTTAATGGACCTCATTCATGATGTTAAGAAAATCGACTTTATCAACATGCTTATTTAGACTTATCAGATCTTATACGTTGTCGGTATCAGCCCTTGCGTGTTTTGGCAGAATTTGTTTATCGCGCTTTCGTGTTTTCGGGATTTTAGTCTTCAATTTCCCGCTTAATTTATCAGGACGAATTGCGTGAGTCAGTCAGATTAATGAAATTGACGAACTCAGTTAAAACGCAGGGCTTTTAGCAAAGTAATCAAAATGTGTGACTAGTAGCAACGGTCTGATTTTAGTTGGCACGCAATATGTTATATGCCTTTGTTAAACAAATCTTGTGTTTCGTCTTTTGTATTTCAGCTGTAATTACCTGTCACGTACAAATGCTTTTAGTGACCGACATTTCTTTGGCTTTACCAAGCAATCAAAAAACCACAAAGGGACTCTGCAAGAGGAAATAAAAACAGCAAAGTCGCTTTTCTTACACATCGTCGATCTCTAAAGCAAAACTGTTGCCTCATTGTCGTTTTCTCTTTCTCCTCACGTTGCCATGTTAAATGTTACAAGCTTCTTTATATCTTTGTTGGATTATAGGGTTGCTGATTACCCAAATCATACTCACGCAGCACGGCACACAGTGCTGCGAAATCAGTGTTTGGTGGACACTTTTCTTCCCGCCAGTAAGACCATTGTGCTCAAATGGGTCTCTTATTAGACGGCGGGATAGGTTATTTGTATTGCAAACCTTTATGTGTGTCGCCTTTTATTGTCTTTGTTTGCTGGTACCCTATTTGTGCACTGTTTTACAATTTAGGTTTTTTTTTTTCACATACATAACTGATGTAGGAAAAATCAGCTTAATGCTATATACTGACTACAATATTCTGAGGTCAGTTTAAAAAAATAGAAACGCGCGCAAAGACGCAAACTAGACCGTTGGCGGCTCAGTGTAATCTTTGCGTGGCTTGCGTCTTACGCGCACTTAGGCCTTTTAGTTCTTTCATTAATCTTCCGACGTTGCAGTGCGTCAGGCTTTTGATGATACGAGAGATAACTCTAAAAGGGCATGACCTTGTAACAATCAAGTTAGCCTGGATGACGATTTTGGACTGTGTTTAAGTCACGCTTACTTTCGTGCCTTGGCAAGTTCGCAGACGCTATAGTATAGCAACGTACTATTTGTTTTGTGTTTTTTTTTTCAGTAATCCTCCGCAAATAATAGAAATGATACTGTTTGAAAAAAACAGTTTGTCATTGTGTTATGGTTGGTTTATTCTTCTAAGCCTCAACTCAAGTGTTTTGCGCTTTTTCAGCAGAAGTGCCTGTCAAAAATAGGCGGGAAAAACAAAATAATGCCTTCTTTCTCACGCAATGAGTTTTTCACTTTCATTTCCAACTGCGCACAAGATAAAAGTTGAAAAATTCACTGGTTTCACTTTCTAAAATATCGAAACAACATCACATAAAGGTAAAATTCCATTAGGTTTCATTGCAATGGACGCAAACTCGGGTTTCATTAACCATAAAAAATGCAGGACAGCTACAGCCGTATTGTACTGCGTCAACGCTTGAATCCTGTTGTTTGAATAAAATTCAAGACCTGGTGTCGCCTTGAATCATTCCATCATATTCGTAAACAAAGGGGAAAAAGATATTGTAGGAAGCTTTGGTACAGCAGAGACCCCACCGTGAACCTAAACGGAGTTCGAGCACTTTTCCCATTCTGTTAACTGACTAGTGATAATTTTGAAACTAATTTAATCCTAATGGTCAACAGAAACATTTACTATTCATTTAGCCACAATTAAATTTCCGCAACTTTTGAGTCAATCAATACACATGAGAAACTGAATACAAAACACATGAATTGGCAAGAAAATGTTTTAAGGGCCTGATAGCGATAGTTTGGTTATCCGCTTCTCTACCGACTAGCACAGATTTTTCAGGAGGCAGTGATAAGTTTACGTTCTTATTATAGGTTGCAGCAGAGATTTTTTGAATAAGTTTGTATTGCAGCTAAGATCGTCCCAGCTGCAAATCAAATGGCATTTGTTTTCTTAGCGAGGCTGTTCCAACCGATAAAGATACTTACACGCATAAATGAGCGGGCAAACGACTTTTTCTAGTTTGTATAACTGACTTAAAAGAGCGGTATGTTTTCGACTTGTTCAAGGATCGACATTTTCCTGGATGCAAAAATATTCACACAGAGTCTCGTAAGAAACAGAGCAAAGGATCATGAATATCTGCATTATTTTGTCCAATATAACCTTGTCTGGAGACACGCCTTCACTTAAAAGCGAAAAACGCGCTGCTTGAAACAGTGAATATGGATTACAGTTGCATCTTTATCCAGAAATGACGCCGCAGTCAAAACGTAAAAATGCATGCACAAAGGTTTGAAGGATGGAAAAGTTGCCAAAAGTATTGTCTGGCAAGGTAGTATGGAAAAGTGAAAGTAGAATTAATATATAGCTTAAACAAAACAGTCTAAAGAAGGCTATTAGCGTAACAAAGAAACGTAAATATGGATTTGATGCTTTGCCAACTGAGCTTTGTTCAGTGACGTGGAATTGGTTTTGGAAGCTCGGATTACTACTGGCACATCTGGCTTCACGCCATAGACAAGCGGAAAATGTATGTGTACAAACAAAGTGGATCCACACCATTGTTAACTAAAAGTGCGTAACAGTCTATTATATTTTTCTGATAACATTAGTTCCTTGTTTTGCAGATACCGAGAAGAACAAAACAAGTTATCGACTCGGGAAGTGCAATCAATTTCCCAGAAATAGCATTAAACGAAAAATAAGTTAATAACACGAATGCTAGATTTTCCAAAACTAAAACTTATTCAAAGCATGAATTCAATTTGCATTAAAAAAGTATGCTCAACACGTTGATAGACAACAAGTTATATGACGCACACAAGTCACGAAATGTTTTTCGATATATTCGTGAGCGCGTCTGGTCAAAGCCCTTCGTCAGAGAAACAGCACGTAACCTTATTAACTTATTTGATAGCCTGACAGTGCTATGAGAATCTTGACTTTAAGTGAGTAATTCTCGCCTTGTTGAGATTGGACATGCAAGAGCATATTTTGTAGTGTATTGAAGTGCTGTTTTAGTTCGGTTCAAGTGGCACCAAACAGATGCGGCACTCTTGTTTCTTTAGCAAATCCAAATTTGCGGGCAATCGAATTCTTCAATCAATCTATTACTTACACTTCAAACGAACCAAGCAACATCAAAGCCGAATTAATCGCTTCGATGCTAAGGAAAAAATGGGTAAAGGAAAGAGACGATCAAGTTCATATTGCTCGATTTGATGGGAAACGTTTACAAAAGAGACGCGGGCTAATGGCACTTCCGGTCTGTCAAGGCGGAGTTGTTTTTCAGTGCAGTCACTTCCTTAAGCAATGAATTGTATACATTTCTAAACCGCAGGTCAAACTTTGCGTCAAACCACTATTTTATGTAACTTGACTTGCACTTCCACGCATTGTTCAATGGTTGTTTATAGAAAGCGCTCGCGGGCACTGATTTTTAATTATTATCACCATTATCACTTCCTTGATCGCACAAGTTATGCCTTGGAACGCTGCCGATCACATCACATACGTAAACTTCCTATAGCCATTTCAGTGGTTACCTGTCAAGTGAAAGCAAACTTGCGCCAACATGAGCAATTTTTAATGACTTCGTCGCGTCTGTGAGGTTTACCTTGGAATCGCTACTAGTATACACTTCCTGTAACTGTTCAAGGGTTGGCTTCCAAGAAAAAGGAAACTCTAGTCAACAAAGCCACTTAATTACTCTGCG